GGTAGGGGTAGGGGTAGGCCTGCTGCTCTGTCTACTGTGGGGATTTCTACTGGATTACCCACTGGATCTAACTTGGTTGCTACACCTGCTATTATACCTGTACCTGTACCTCCACAGAGGAGAGGTACACCTGCTGCTCAGTCCACTGTTGGACTTTCTACTGGCTTAGCTTCTGGATCTAATTTGGTTGCTACATCTACTACAGTATCTAATACTGTTGCTAGATTGGGGTCTAATATTGCTCCTGGGTCTACTACTGCTGCTGGCTTAAACATTGCAACTGGATCCAATACTGCTACTATGTTTAATCTACATAGTAATAGTAATAATAATTGGCCCAATTTGGGTTTAGGAGATTATATTTGCAATCTAAGAAATATGCCACCTCCACCACAGCAGGCACATCCTATCCCATCTATACCCCAGGTACAATTACCTGTAGGATGGGATAGGCCTTTACAAAATCCCATGCCTCAGAGTATTCCTTCTGCACCTGAACCTATAAGAAGAAGAAGGACTGTGTATAGGCCTGTACATGATATTTCAAGTGGCCAGGCTGATCCTTCTCTGCACAATGTACACCGTGGTCATATTGCACATAGAGAGCAAAGAACAACCCATGAGGTTCAAAGAGCTGCTTATTTGTTAAATCAATTTCAGGAGCAACAGCAACACCAAAGTCATGTCAATCAACAACAGCAGCTACAACAACTGCAACAACAACAAACTCAAATTCTTGCAGATCAGTTGGAGCAGCAACAAAGACAACAGGCAAGGACAGCTGAACAATTGGAGCAACTCACCAGAGAATATGCTCAACAAGCTGATAATATCCAGCAGAGACTTAGACAGGAACAACAAAATTTTCAGGAAAGGAATGCTGCCATGAGGAGAGATATCTTACATGAATGGAATCAGGAGCATGAGGCTGAACTCAATCAGAATGATATTGAGAATGATCCTACTGTTCATCACAACCAGCCTGCTCAGCCAGCCAATAACCCTCCTGCACCTCCTGTTCCTCAACATGATGAATTTGATGACTTGAATGATATTGATGACATCTATGCAGATCTGCCATTCCCATTACCTGCTCAGCCTGCCAATCCAGTCACTATGCCTGCATGGGCTACTGTTACATGATGATGGGTCAAGTCATGTGACAGGTTAGGATCTCTGAGTTATTCCCTCAAACTATCCAGTGTGTCAGTCCCCACAGTACACCATAGTTGATAGTGGGACACCATGTCTATCCTTGGTTATCTATGTGTAACCAACTTCCATCCTAACTGGCTCCATAGCTCAGTGGTTAGAGCTACCTGTCTAGACTTACAGGAGGTCCCAGGTTCGAGTCCTGGTGTGGTCACCTTTTGAAATCTAATAGCTACAGCCAGACAGCCTTATCAAGAGCCACCTCCCACACATAGTCTAGGGCCTATGAATGTTGTT